TGTATAGAAAAACCGTATCGCCACACGGCTATACTATTTCTTTTATAAAAATTTAAAAAACCCAGTATGGCCGACCGTCTATATTATTTCTTTTTAGAAAACTGGAAAACAAACCCGAGTATAGCCGACCGGCTACTATTTCTTTTTTAAAAAGTTGAGAAAAACCGTGTATACTGTTTCTGTTTTAAAACATTGCTAAAAAACCCAGTATAGCTGTCTGAGATACTATTTAATTTATAAAAAGTTGGAAGAAACTCAGTATCGACCCGCGGCTATACTATTTATTTTTAAATAATTGGAAAAAACCCGAGTATAGCGGGGACCCTATACTGTTTTCGAATCTTTTTTTGGTTCTTTTTGAAAAATTAGGGAAACATTAAGGAAAAACAGTATTGCCACACGGCTATACTATTTCTTTTATAAAAATTTAAAAAACCCCGTATAGCCGACCGGCTATACTATTTCTTTTTTAAAAAGTTGAGAAAAACCATGTATACTGTTTCTGTTTTAAAAATTTGCTAAAAAACCCAGTATAGCTGTCTGAGATACTATTTCTTTTGAAGAAATTAGGGAAAAAAAAAAGTATATCCGCGGCTATACATTTAATTTATAAAAAAATGGAAGAAACCCAGTATCGACCCCTGGCTATACTAATTATTTTTAAATAATTGGAAAAAACCCGAGTATAGCCGGGACCCTATACTGTTTTCGAATCTTTTTTTGGTTCTTTTTGAAAAATTAGGGAAACATTAAGGAAAAACAGTATTGCCACACGGCTATACTATTTCTTTTATAAAAATTTAAAAAACCCAGTATAGCCGACCGGCTATACTATTTCTTTTTAGAAAACTGGAAAACAAACCCGAGTATAGCCGACCGGCTACTATTTCTTTTTTAAAAAGTTGAGAAAAACCGTGTATACTGTTTCTGTTTTAAAACATTGCTAAAAAACCCAGTATAGCTGTCTGAGATACTATTTCTTTTGAAAAAATTAGGGAAAAAAAAAAGTATATCCGCGGCTATACATTTAATTTATAAAAAAATGGAAGAAACCCAGTATCGACCCCTGGCTATACTAATTATTTTTAAATAATTGGAAAAAACCCGAGTATAGCCAGGACCCTATACTGTTTTCGAATTTTTTTTTTGGAAAAATCCGAGTATAGCCGCCCGGCTAGACTATTGATTTTTGAAAAATAAGGAAAAAACATAGTATAGCCGGTCGACTATACTGTTTTTTTTTAAAAAATTGGAAAAATCCGAAAGGGAAACATTGAGGAAAACAAGTATAGCCACACGGCTATACTATTTCTTTTATAAAAAAAAACCCAGTATAGCCGAACGGCTATACTATTTCTTTTTTAAAAAGGGGGAAAACCGGGTATAGCCTATACTATTTCTGTGTTTAAAAATTGGAAACAAAAACCAGTATAGCTGTGCGAAATACTATTTCTTTTGAAAAAATTGGAAAAAAAACCCAGTATAGCCGTGCGGATATACTATTTATTTTATAAAATAATTTGGAAAAATCCGCGTATAGCCGCTCGGCTATACGATTTCCTTTTTTAAAAACTAGGAAAAAAATAGTATATCCGCACGGTTATACTATTCCTCTTATAAAAAATTGGAAAAAAAACCCAGTATTGCGAAATACTATTTCTTTTGAAAAAAATTGGAAACAAACCGAGTATAGCCGCTCGGCTATAATATTTCTCTTATAAAAAATTGGGAAAAACCCAGTATAGCCTTGCGAAACACCATTTCATATGAAAAAAATTGGAAAAAACAGAGTATAGCCGAGTGGCGGTACTATTTCTTTTTTTAAAAATTTGAAAAACCCTGGTATAGCCAGGAAAAATGCCATTGAGATTGTCTTTCCTAACACTAAGCATCGTTGGTGCTTATGTCATATAATGAAGAAGCTTCATGAAAAGCTTAAGAGTTACAAACACTATGAATCTATTAAATTTGCCTTGGAGAATATTGTGTATGATTCATTGACCAATATTGAGTTTGAAAATCATTGGAAAGAGATGATTGAGGAGTCTAAGTTACAGAGTAATGATTGGTTACGAGGCCTATATGATGAAAGATGTCGTTGCATATCAAGCTTTGTGAGAGTATGAATGCAATTTTTGGTGACCACGTAAATTCTAAGACTACCTTGAAGCACTTTGTGGAACAATATGAAAATGCATTGATGACTAATGTTGAAAAAGAGAACCAAGCAGATTATAAGTCTTCATCTGCAAATATCCGATGTAGCACCCATTACTTTATGGAGAAACAAGCTCATAGTGCAGCACAATGGAGGAATGGAATGCTGGAGACGGGAGGAAGAGTTGAGAACAGACGTGAGGCCACTTACCAGGGACGCTGGGGTTTTTTAATTTGTTTTTTCAGTTTTTATTTTTTTGTTTTTTAAGGATTATTAAAAAGAGAATAAATAAAAAATAAAATACACGTGGCAACATTCATTAATTAACATAGCATGACATATCAGCTGCCACATAAGGTGGTCAGCTAAGGTGATCAATTGTTGTGTGTTTAAATAGCATTACTCATTCTGAGTACAATAACAATAGTATCAAATATTAAACATAATAAATGTTAGTAAATACGAACAATATTTTAATTTCATAGATACATAATATAAATTTTCACTTGAAGTAAAATAATTTTATAAAATTGAAGAAAACTCATGGAGGCTTCTAACTCTAGTAGTAAACAGTATTTAAATCCTCTACTGTCAGCATATTACACACATCTTTTCATGAATTGTAAAATAGGAAGGTGCTCTCTATAAATAGTGAAATTTAATCTCACTGTCATCACTCATCAAGGCATGATGAAGGTGGAAACAATTCTTGTTATAATTGCGGCACTGAAAGCAATGTTACTTAAAGTTATCAACAAAATTCAATTGACTACTTCCGTCAATTAAAACCCAGCCCACATGCTGCGTGCGTGCAGTGACATTATTGCCCTTTGACCAAAGATGGTAGGAGAGAACTAGAGTGTTTTTCATTCCATGGTAGAATTCTAGAACCACATATATGACTTGGGTAGAAGACCCACTGCAAGTGGCACTATATTCCAATCCAAGACTCAAGACTCAACCAACTCCAGTGCACCATGATCTTGCCACGCCAGCACAGGTGCAAACAGACCTGTCTTTGTGGCCATTGGATTGCGTGCGATGGTCACTCTTATTGGAGATGAGATGAGATCAGAGCCACATCAAGGCTGACTGGGTAAAACCTCAAAATGACAAATGAGTCCTAGAAACCTCTGTGTCTTCCAAAGAATTAGCTGTAAATCCCGAAATAGATTCTAAACCACAATTGTGAACTTGTTTTTGATGAAATTTGATGCCGAGCCGCCGCAGTTGGAAACATCATATGATCATGTAAATTTGAAGGACGTCGGTCCCTCTGCCACGTGGCGGCAAGCTTGTACGTGGCTCAAAAGCAACCAAACTTCGAGTTCTCCTAGGAAACCTCAATCGACCGCGTGGCAGCACGTGTGTTGAATAAAACCTAACAACAAACTATGATATAAATGTGAATGGAAAATGATTAAAACTTGTCAGCTGATGAGGCAAATTGAAAAGGAAGAAGAGTTTTGGGTGGGTTATATAATTGATCAAGGCACCCATTCTTCATTTATATATACTATATGCATATATAACAGAGAGCACTGTTGTTCCAAGCTGCGCTGCGCGTTCGCATTTGCCAAAATTGCAAAGATTTCTGCTCCTCCTCTATCTATCAACTGGTCAGTATTGATTTTATTTATGCTTTTCTTTCCAAGTTTTGCACAAGAGTTTTCATCCATAAAAATATTTAGATCAATGTTATATTATGTTGATGGAGTTCTAGAGAGAGAGAGAGAGAGGGTGCATGTGTGTTTTGATCTGGGTTTTATTAAAAGTTTTAAACAATCCTGGTTTTCTTTTCTTCTTTCTTCCTTAATTTCTGGTTAGAGATTTGGATATATCCGAATGAATTGCCACCAGTATTTCCGGGTCAAACCAATTATATTTCTATACAATGCATTTGCCGTCCTGAAAACGACTTTGAATATTCCAAGCTAATCATCGAGAAAATCTTGGTCTTTCTAGCTCCTTCAATAAGAGCAAAGCTGGGGATCCTAGATATTCATGAAATATTTTTTATTTAATGATAATATATATGTGCTGTAATTCATCTAATGTCATATGATTTGACTTAAGAAACAAGCTATATATAGACGACGCCGCTGTCTTATCCCTTGTACAAGTTATTTTTTTTAGACGCGTTGTTTTCAGCATGTGTTTTGAAAGGTCTCAAACTCCTCCATATATGTATTCATATACAGCTATCAACAAAACCAGCAATGCTATCTCCTTGTCGTTGTGATAAAGTAGCAGAAAATTACTCCTACATTCGCTAAGGAAGGAAGGAAGGAAGGAACGAA